TTACCACTACGGTGAAACACACGATCACGGGTATAGTGCTGACAAACTTAGAAACATAATCGGGTTGAACCGGGATTCGACCCCACAACCATAGGTTTCTGACGTGTCCTGGGGACGCAACTCTGCACCGCGAATCGCGGCGCCTTAGACGACTGGGCCACCCGTGCCCCCGTACATGGCATGAAATAAATGGACATATATGAGAGTGTAATGCACCTGCACCCTTGTATTCTTCATAAAGAAGTGTGAGCGTGAAGGGACGCAAGAAACCTACGAGACACGTGAAGATCCGGGAAAGAATAGATCTTCAGCAACCCATGCTTGCCGAAAAAGGCGACTCGGGTGGTCAGGCTCGCTGACTTGGTTGATGCATGTCATCGATCCCAATTGGGTGGGTCGATGCTCATGATACCAATCACTGGATTGTCTGGTCCAGACTCGATTATTTACAGACTGCCGTCATACAGCTGGAATATTGCTGAGTGCGGCGTTAAACAACAAACCAACCAACCAATTGCGTGGATCGATGCTCATGATATTCATCACTGGGTTGTCTGGTCCAGACTCGTTTATTTACAGACCGCCGTCATATAGCTTGAATATTGCTGAGTGCGGCGTAAAACAACAAACATCTCCCCCCCAAAAAACAAAATATAGGTGTCTTTCAGCATGTGAAGCTTAAGGTTCTGGGGTTCTGGGTTGAAAAAATAATAAATCCCCAGGTAAAGATGGGATGTCAGTTGAAATTTGAAATTTTTCTTGAAAGATATCTCTGTTTGTGTTTATAGATTTATAAAGGATACCTTTGAGAATAATCGACTAACATTTACTATGAATAGGGGCGTTATTACTACCATATCTAAACCACAAAAAGCCAGAATAGTACTTAAAATTGGAGCCCCATTACATCATTAAATACTTAGTACAAAATTCTAAGTTGCTGCATAGCAAATCGTATCATTAGATCATTGCCAAAACTAATACATGAAAACCAAACAGGTTTTATATCAGGGCCGGACAACGGACAAGGGGGTACTGACACAAGTTTACTTGAAAAAATCAGTCAGGTGAGCTAAAACTTAATCACGTCTCAATTTTCCAATATTTTATTCACAAATTTAAGCTAAATTGTCTTTGGAAAAAAAAGTAAAAAATGATTTCACTAGTGAAATATGATACATGATCTATGAAGAACAAATTTTGAATTTTGAATTGTTTTAAATTAGTGTGATATTATTTACAACTGACATTATTGAAGGCGGTGCTACTCAGGGGGATTAAAGTAGCATAAAATTATTGTCCTCTTGACTCTGGCACGCAAGCCCATCTAAATAAAAGTGTGTAATATCAACTAGTGTTTTAACTACTTGACTATGTTTTGATCTTTTAATATTGGTTAGCATTGAAGATGACCACTTGTGACCAAAGTGATGACATAAATCCTGCTTGGAATCATGCAGGTAGCAAAGGCACTGTAAGTCCCCATGATCCCCAGTTAGGTGGTCTAGCTTTGGTTGCCAGAGGTATATAGCCCAGTTTTATCTCGTACCAAATCTACTGAAGAATTCTTTGTTTTTATTGTGAACTGGTTTGTTTTTTACCTTAGCTGTGCTACATGACTTACTGTTTTACTGTCCTTTGTCGACGGGTATTTTATCATAATTAACTTGTTTTCATCGCAATATGGCTGCAATATTGCCGATGCGATGTAAAACTTTAACTCACTCACTCACTCACTCACTCATGGGTATTGTACGACGCTTCAGTATTGGGCAGTCACGAGTTACTTCCCTTTGGAAGTTCTCCCGGCGAGAGAGATAAGATTTGCGTTTTCACGCTGAAAAGCACGTTGTGTTTGACTGCTATTTCTTTAGCTATAACAGAATTCAACACGTTTTATACAGTCCCCACAGTGTAAGTACAATCATTTGTCATTCCCTGATAATATTTGTTGGCATGCAAAATACTGTTAACGCAAAATTTGTTTAGTTTTCTCAAAGTTTCGTTGTTGCCTTATCGAAGTTGAAGTGTGTGAAGTGTCGTAAAATATCAAAGAATACTTTCTTAAGATGGTTTTGTTCCAAAATAATATTTATAAAGATAGGCAACTTTCAAACTATAATAAAAGACTTAATTAGGCTTTATTTGTATTGTTCAGCCTTTTTACCACTCTACCATAACCACTAAATCATGATTATCATGCCACCAACAGAATAAAAGTGATGTCGGTTATAGCTGGCTGTGTTTTTTTGTTTATGGAACAACTGGTCACAGTACAACCCTAAATAATAACGAACATAATAACATACTCTCACATTTCAGATTTATCCATGAAGACAATTCCCGCAAAACATTGGAGTGCATGGGTGGCCCGAGGCGATTCGCTTTGCAGAGTTGCGCCCCTTGACCATAAACCTATGATTGTGGGTTTGAATCCCGATTCGCCCCGATTATGTTTCTAGGTTTGTCAGCACCATACCCGTGCTCGTGGGTTTCACCGAATTGGTAAAAGTCAGAGACATGCATTACTTTGGGCTTTCCTCCTACAATAAGCTGACACGCGGCGATATGTTTTGAACACTGTTAAAAACCGCGTTAACTCACTCACTCTCTCGCGAGACGTTGACACAACCTGGTTAAAGACAATTACTTGAGGCGACATTGGCTTTAAAGGCAGGGTAGAATATGTCCACAGCACCCCATTGCTGGTCGTAAAAGGCTACCGAATTAGGCAACCCGTTTGCCGTGGGTTGCGCCCCTGTGTCGGTGGAGGACGGGATTCTGGTGGTTGAGGGCACTGTAGCCAGGAACAGTGTTCCTTTTGCCCAACACACCACTTTGACCCTGACTTCTCCTAGACGGGTGGTAGAATTGGCCCGATTCTATCAAGCGGCTGGTCACGTCATGCCCTGTGCATGGAATAATTTAGACATATCCTATCACCCAGGTTTTGATTGGAATGTAGGATGACCTTCATTTTGTCAAATAAAAATGTGCCTAGAGTCCTATGCCAGAAGGCGGTGGCTCATGGGCCAATCTGGTAATATGAACCGCTGAGTTCTGTGTTTTTATAGGAAAATGCCATGGGCCGAACCAGCCTGACATTCCTCCTTTTATTAACGACAGCTATTCATGTCTTTATTTCTGGAGTATAACACCCCTGTAACCCTGGTGTTGAAGCCTGGCTTCCACTGCGGCACCTTCCTTGTTGACACTCGATGGCGGGTGGGGACCAGGGATGATGAATTTATCCTATATACACCATGTCTCACACTAACCCTCCTGGTTCCAGTAAAGCCAATAAACGTAGACATGTAGATTGTGCTTCATCGGATGAAGAACCTTCTCAAAAAGATACAGCTCCTGAAGTTTCTTGTCCGAGATTTATTGTAATTTCGTCAGATGATGGAAATCCATTGAAACTGAATCCTTTCGCTATCTCCATTGGCATCAAAAGCGTTTGTGGAGAAGCGAAAAATGTTACGCGTCTTCGTAACTGATCACTACTTATAGAATGTGCACGGAAGCAGCAATCACTCAACCTGCTGGATCGACAGCAGTTTGTCAATGTTGAGGTTGTTGTTTCTGCGCACAGGTCACTCAATTCAAGTCGAGGTATTGTCAGAGATCGTGCTCGCTGTCTCTCTGATATGACTGAAGATGAGATAGTGTTTGAACTACAGCAACAATGTGTCACTGGTGTAAAGCGTTTCACCAAGAAAAGAGATGATGGAACTGACACCAACACTCATACCTATCTTTTTACATTTTCAACACCTACAAGCCCAAAGTCAATTAAAGCTGGCTACTTCAATATCGGAGTGGAGGTATACGTACCAAACCCACTTCGTTGTTATAAATGTCAAAAGTTTCATCATGGGGCCAAATCCTGCCATAGCACACCGGTGGTGTGTTGCCGCTGCAGCGGAAATCATGAGAGTTCTCAGTGCTCGTCTGAATCTCAGATGTGTTTCAACTGTCATGGAGATCACATGGCCTCTTCCAAATCTTGCCCTCTATTTCAGTTTGAGACTAAAATTCTAAAAATGAAATGCACCAATAATATCTCCTATCTTGATGCGAAGAAACTAGTTCAAACTCAAACTCCATCTGCCAAATCATATTCAGCTGCAGTGTCTTCTCTGCCTGTTGTTAACAAAGCTGCTACCGTTTCCACAGCGTGCCAGACATCAATCTCCTGGGTGACGGATGGTCAGATCATTATTGAGGACACCACTACGGTTTCCAAAAAGGTTTCTACGCTTTCAAGTTCAGCTTCACAAACAGATGCAATACCATCATCTCCAAACTTCTGACAATACCTCAGAATCAAAGTCTTCTTCAGGGCGATGCCCATCTTACTAAATAAGAAAAAAAGAAACTGATAAGGCCAAAGGCCCTCCAACACTTGGAGGTGCCTTCTCTATCCAACCCTGTGGAGGTTCACAATCCATTCGAACCTCTAGAGATGGAAGTCACTCCCACTGTGCCAGTCCATGGGAGTAGACTCCCTTCCCGTTCCAGATCACCAGTTGAGCCACCGTGAGCTCTTCTACTTGTATTATCCAATGGATTTGCAGAGGGCTACGGACTAATTTCAATGATTTACAATTAATACTTCAGGATTATAAACGATCGGCTTTATCCATACAAGAAACTTACTTAAAAAATACCGATCATATTGACATCAGACAACATGATTCCTATCATTTCTTTTCTCCTCCCGGTGCAAAAGCAACTGGAGGCTCCTCTGTCTTGGTGAGGCGGGATATTCTTAATAGCCCACATGAAGCTGTTGCTGTCCGAGTTACAATGCACGTTGTTCTCCCTTTGTGCTCTGTTTACATTCCTCCATCATCTTCTCTTAGACAGGCTGACCTTCAGTATTTGTATGACCAACTCCCCAAGCCCTGTATCATTATGGGCGATTTAAATGAGCACAATCCTATTTGGGGCAGTACACATACAAACAACAAAGGAAAGATCCTAGAAGATTTTATTTCTAATAACGATTTATGCATATATAATGATGGTTCGAACACATATTTACATCCAGGTGCAGGTACTTACTCTTCTATAGATTAATGGATTTCAGACTAAGCTTTACTGATGAGTTCGAATGGTCGGTCCACGGTGACCTCTGTGGAAGTGACCATTTTCCAACTATATTAAAACCTATTACTCCTTCTGATGTACCTCCTGCATCAAGATCTTTAGTAAAGCTAACTGGCCCTTGTTTGAAAAAATGTCTTCAAACAAATTAAAACCTCATCTATTTCTCGATGTTCCTGACCCTGTTCAATTATTCTCTGATGAACTTATCAAAATAGCCGATGAATGCATTCCGAAGTACTCGGCGAATCCTCACATACGAAAACCATAGTTTAATAATGACTGCAAACTAGCTGGAAGCAAGGAAAAAGCCAGAGGATTATTTTCATCGCCATCCTATGGCACATAATTTGAACAAATTTAGAGTTTAAAATGCTAAAAGCACAGCGCACTTTCAAACCAAATAAACGCCAATCATGGCAGAACTAGGTTTCAAAAATGTATTCCCGAACTCTGATGATCCAAAAGATCAAAGGTAAGGGTTCAAAATCCAGCATCCACCATCTTAAAAATGGGGATGAATTACAAACTGATAGCTCAGATATTGCAAATAAACTGGGGGAAACTTTGGCGAATAACTATGTACCTAAATTTCAAAAATACCAAAAGCAGCAAGAAAAGAAAAATTTCAATTAGATAATGGGGAAAACTACAATGAAATCTTCTCCATTCCTGAGCTCCACACTGCCCTAGGGCAAGCTCATGATACTGCTTCAGGAGCAGATAACATACGCATCAACTCCTGAAACATTTACAGGAACCTTTGTTAGAAACTCTTCTGCTATTTTTTTATGAAATTTGGATGTCTGGTATAATTCCTTCATTATTACCAAAACCTGGACGGGATCATACCGATCCCTGAAATTAAAGACCCATTTCATTGACTAGCTGCGTTTGCAAAACCATTGAACGCATGGTAAATAATAGATTGACATGGTATTTCGAAACTAATAATTTAATAACAAATATTCAGTGTTGTTTTTGTAAAAGTCTCAGTACCATTGACCATTGCAATAATAAACAAGGAACATGCAGTGTCTATCTTTTTCGATGTAGGAAAGCATATGACACTACATGGAAACACGGTATTTTAGAATATTTACATGACTTGGGATTAAGAGGCTGTTTGCCTCAATTTATATCCGTGTTTTTAACTGACAGGCAATTTCAAGTCCGCGTGGGTTCTTCCCTGTCTGATTATTATAATCAGGGTCAGGGTGTCCCACAATGTAGTGTCTTGTCTGTCACATTGTTTAGAATCAACATAAATAGCCTCTCTAAATTTTCAAATGATTCAATTGACGGATCGTTGTTTGTGGATGATTTTTAGGTATCTTGTGGCAAAAATATGCATACATTTGAAAGACAATTACAATTGTGTCTAAATAAAATACATAAATGGTCTTTAGAAAACGGTTTTAAATTGTCAAAATCTAAAACAAATTGTCTTCAATTTTGTGGAAAATACAAACATCATAGAGACCCCGAATTAGTTTTGAATTAGTTTTGGACGGTTAAGGTTGTCAAGGAGGCAACAGTTTTTCAGTTTAGTGATCTTGACAGCAATAAGGTAGTGTGGCCTCCTTAGTCTTTATAGCACATCCTTGCCCCAACGCTTGCTATCTTCTGTACCTTCTCGGTACAGCAAGCTTCACTGTCTGTTTGTTGTTTAACGCCACAATATTCCAGCTATATGACGGCAGTCTGTTAATAATAATGTCTGGTCCAGACAAACTACGCAATTAGGATACGATGACATGCATCAACCAAGACCACCCGATCCCGATCTCATGATAAGCATAATCGCCTTTTACAGCAAGCAGTGGTTGCTGAAGACCTATTCTACCCTGGATCTACACGGGTCTCTGAACTTTCGTGCATCCTCTGATTGATGTTATAGGGCCTATTATTTATTGACCAATTCTACTGCCTTTAATGTTTTGTAAACCTCCTCCTTTGTGTTTCAATATAATTTGTTAATTATTCACTGACGTGTGGTTATTTACTGATTCCACAATTTTGCACTGTACGTTCTGTGTTGGCCTTCGCGTTTCAGTTTGGAAATCAAAAGTAACATCTCGTACATCTCATTGTTTGCCTGGCGTTGAAGAACCACTCAGTCCATCAAGTAAAGGCAAGTGGATGTCAGGAAACATGGCTTCCAGACCATATCTGGATCACGCCTCACACTATAACTTCACACAAGGACCAGCCTTTGTTTGTGTAGGTCGTGGTCTTTATTGTCGCTTGATGCAGGTATGCACATCCTGCGTTGAATGGACTGCTCTTTGCCCCTGACCGGATGAAGGTTGAACCGTCCGTCCAGGCATAGGATGTCTCACTGTACACTTGCAGACCAATCAGTGCTCCTGTAAGGAACGTGAGACGCCGTCTAGAATGTTACATTAGTTAAACAAGGTGGTTACACCATGTATGTTCGTTAAGACGTTTATTACTAATTATATATGGACGACGAGATACTCAAAGGCAGCTGTGATTAAACCCAGCTATTGCTAGATGAAGAGTTGTAATAATTACTCTAACATTTTCTCATGTGATAGATTAGCTGCTAGTGTAGCTACTGTTCTCATTGATTCTTTTGCAGATTGTTTACTTTCTGGCTGCTTGCTATAAATCAGAGCTAAGGGACTGGGACTGATCTTCCCCAAGTAATAGTAAATCAACATTTTCAGCCATAAAAACCTGTTAACGGACAGTAAATATGTATCACAGATCGAAGACTATAAACTAACAAATTCAATTCAAAAATCATGTACCACACGTCTGTACGTATCAGTGTACTTAATACAGGCTATTAGACACCAGAAACCAGGTCTCTTTACTGGGGAAGATTCCTCTGCTACCTGCTGGAGGACGTACCGTCACGTTGTATCCTACCTGGTGGGTGTTTGGCAATACCAGCCTATAAATTTCAATATCAAAGACGACAATATTATGCTTGCAGAAATGTACCTAGATATAATAGGAGTTACTCATCATATCACTGTCACTATCATCTAACCAAGGGTAAAACATGTTTTGTTGGTGTTCGCGCTCCGTGACTTTGTCAGCCTGTCAACATGGATCACTGCACACAAAATCAAACACTTCTTTTCGTTGACTTGACCTAAAAGGGCGGGAGCATATAGTTACACCAAGAACTTCCGTTCGTCCTTCCGAGAATGTTTCTTGTTCGACCGATAACTTGAAAACAACTGAATCGATTCTTCTCAAATCTTGTTTACACTATCTATCCAAGTAGCAGATCTGAAGTGCGAAGGTTGATTTCAAATTCAATATTTTGACTTTCTGAATTTTTCGGATTTTTTGCTGAAATTTTGTGTTACCTAAACATTTGTGCAACCTATAACTTTAAAACTACTTGATGGATTCCTTTCCAAATGTGATAGTTTCTAGGAGAGGTACAGTGCAAAGTTGTGGCTTTTTCTGTGAGAATATTGCTTTTTTCATGTTTTGATCTTAGAAATATGTTTATACCCACGACCGAAAACGGCATTGGTATTTAGTTCTTCCAAGCAGTTGCGTTCGACGACCCTACCGCCAAAGAAATTTTGCAAGCTTCAGTTGAAAACTGCACCATGGAATATTTTAGGAAAACATTCTATGTTATTGAGAGGTGCCAAGGTATGACTTAAACAGTAACCTGCTGATAATTACCTGGTGTGAAAAACCCTTATCATTGACAGACTTCTTATCATTTTGTGAGAGTTAAACAGTAACCTGCTTATGACTACCTGGTGTCAGAAACCCATATCAGTGACAGCCTTCTTATCATTTTGTGAGAGTTTAACAGTAACCTGCTGATTATTACCTGGTGTGAGAGTCGGACTCCGTGGTCTAGTGGTAGAGCGTCTGCCCGGGGAGCGGAAGGTGCGGGGTTCGATCCCCGGCCGCGTCATACCAAAAGACGTTAAAAGATGGTACTTGTTGTTACCCTGTCTGGCGCTCGGCATTAAGGGGCTAAAACAAGGACTGGTCGGCTCGGAGTCAGCATACTGTGTCTGAGTGGGGTATTCATGTTAAACTGCGGCATGGTATCTCAGTGAGCTAGCACTATAAATCGGCATCATTCTGGACTAGTACAAGCAGCCACACAAACACACACACGTACATGCACGTCGCTATAAGTGCAATAATCTTGGACGCGACGTTAAACCCCATTTCACCTTACCTCACCTGGTGTGAAACACCCTTATCAGTGACAGCCTTCTTATCATTTTGTAAGAGTTAAACAGTAACCTGCTGATTATTACCTGGTGTGAGAAACACTTATCAGTGACAGCCTTCTTATTATTTTGTGAGAGTTAAACAGTAACCTGCTTATAATTACCTGGTGGGAAAAACCCTTATCAATGACAACCTTCTTATCATTTTGTGAGAGTTGAACAGTAACCTGCTTATAATTACCTAGTGTGAGAACCCCTTATCAGTGACCCTTGACACTAGGTAAGAAGCAGGTCAGGTGTGATAACTAGGTTATCACAAAGAGAAATAAAGTCATAGGGTGAGAAAAACGTGATATTTAGAAGATGCAAAGCCTAGTAATTAATGTCAGTGTTGTTGCTGACGTCGTGGTAATACCACGTGGTAGACATCCATATAGAAAAGGAACATTTGAACAAACTCACTCAAATTGACAATTGTTATCGGGTAAAAATATTCATCAAAGTAAAGTCAAGCATACCCTATCCCCTAAAACTTGCTGATGAAGCAGCAGTGCTTCTTTGATTCATGTCATTACTGTTATATCATTGTGTTTTTTAAGCGAAACAGGCTCAAATGTTAAGGCATCAATATATCTCCAATATCATAATTGTTCTTCAACTGATGTTGGTTTCGAGGTCATTGGTATCAGCGAGCCCTTTACATATTTTGCTTTGCTTGTGGCTGGAATATTGCCCAGTGCATTTACATAGTTTCTGTTACGTACCATATATAGAAGACGTTCTCGTCATGAAATCTCCAATGTAGTCGTGCTTTTGTAAGGTATTAAGTATCATTAGACGTCCGCCATCACTCTCACAACGGGACTGGCTATCTGCCCAGTTTATCCAGGGACTGGTGTAGAGCTTGTAACACAGGCGTGGCGACAGGACTAGCGTGTAGCCTTGAGACACAGGACATGAATCTGAAGACAGAAAGAGCCATCAGTATTAGTTATCATCCATGACAAATCATACCGCAGTCCGCAAACGTTTGACTTGAAACAGAATACACCATGACTGTAGTACGTCATGGTTGGAGTATTTTCTTTCTGGCTAGAAAATTATATATGCAATACAACAATAGGTTTTTTATATCAGAAATAAATGGAAAATTCTGAATCTGTTTAGGATGGACTGTTGATAAAGTTGGTTTCTAATTTGTTTCAACATAATCAGCTCCGAGGTCCACGGATTTTTGCCATTGATGCTTTAGTGCATGGATCCCACTGGTGACGAAGGCTTCCTTCTGGTGGTATAAAACATCCTCAAAGGCAGAACTGACGTCATCGTTATTTGCATAATGCTTGCCAGACAGTTATTTTTTCAAAGTTGGGAAAGACAGGAAATCTGACGATGCCTCGGGGGGACGTTCAATAAGTTCAAAGCCACAGCCATACCAATGACAGACGTTCTGCATTGTCTTCGGGGAACAACACACCCTGAGTTTTCCACGACGTGTATGATATTTTCACGTCTTTAACTGCAGAATACCACAATATTGACCGTTAATGGCCTGACTTCCGTGGGAATTCACCAGTAGGATTCCTTTGTTATATTCTTCGGAGAGGTCAAATGTTTCCACTGCTTTATCTGTTGGATATTCTCTGGCTGACAAAATTAAATGGATCCGATTCAAAACAACATACACTACTGCCTAAAAGTTCATTCCCCCAACACGCGTTGAGAACGCGTGTAACACGCATGTGCCACGGGTGCTCAACGGGTTGCACACGGGGTGAGCACCCGTTGGACACGGGTGTGCAACGGGTGTGAATCGCGTGTGCAACCCGTTGCACTCGCGTGTGCCACGCGTGTAACACGGGACCGGGTTCCAGTTGAAGTTGACAAATTTATCAAATGAATAGTGAGATAAAACAAAACAGTGAGATGTGAAATTTGAGTTAATGAGCGGCCATTGAGCTGTGTTCACCAGACCGTAAATACAAGGTCGGCCCATCTTAATTAGTGATCGGTTGCTAGACTTTTATGGCATGAACCATTCCACTAGGGTCCAGTCTAGCCATTGTGGCTAGCCGACAGTAGAACAGTAGTGAATTTAGATGCGAGTTTATTGCTAAGGGAACCCCCGTGTTGACACGATTGTCGCGGGTTGGTAAATGTTCGCCATTAATAAAATAATTGTTTGTGGATTGCGAACATATTCATTTGCCCACACGAGTCATTCCATTTGATTGCAAATATAACGTTTTTCGTTCGCCAAATTTATGCTTTAGACAGTTCAATTATGACATAGCTGTCACCACTACTAATGTCTCATTATTTCACGTAGGAATATGTCCCATTTCCCCACACCCCACTTTCTGTGTTGTATTTTGAAAAATAAATAAAGAAGGTTTTGAGTGAGACACTTTTATACTTATTATAAGAGGATGTTGTAAATGAATATGAACAGCCATGCTGTCTGACAGTTGATAAAATTTGAGATCTTCACAATCACCGGGTGTGACCATGTAGACAGAATCTCGTTAGGGTTTGTGATTTTTACATTTGCCCAATGACCATAGTGAGTATTGCTGGGGATACCAAACGTAACAGTTTATTATTAGAGGTTGTGAGTACCTACACCACGTAGATAGGATATCTTTAGGATTTTAATCCTTCTTTGACATTTTCATAAACTTGGCAAGTGATGATGAATTTTAATATTAATATTATTATAGTTTATGAAATTGTTAATAAAACTTTAATAAAATTGTGCTTCACTCTCACGAAAAATATATTGTCTGTGAGTAAATTTATTTGTCACGTTACATCGGCATTTTTCAGTGATATTGGGACTACATGAAACATGGCTGGTTTTACATTTCTGATACAGGTGCTTGACTGACTGAGTAGTTCATGATCAATAAGATATGTTTAAATCAGTCAAGTTTGCAACAATAGATGAATAAGTTGATACATTTAGACCGCAGTTACCGATTAACAACTTAAGACATAAGGACAGGGAGGAGATATATAACCAAACCTATGATCCTGTTGAGACAGTTGACAGTTAGAACGTTGGATTAAATGACAGTAACTAATTTGAACATTCCCCAGTTATATCATAAAATACATCATAACTCATAACAGTCCGAGAGACAGCTTCCAGACATATACAAGTATTGAAGGGACAATCGCTTTTGACAGTTTAAAAATAAACTCACCTTAAGGTGCTTGGCAAGTCAAAACTGATCTCCCTGAATATGTTTTTTAGGTTTGACAGCAACTATGCTTGTGGATTTCAGAGATAGACATGATTGGTTAGCTAGATGTTATTACAATAAGCGAAAATGTCTTAAAAGTCCACAGTTGGTTTAATAGTACAAAAAGTGTGTTATAGATCTATCAACGTTTTCTTTTTTTGAACATAATATTTGCACTATATTGCTGTAAGCTGTAAATAATCTAGCCTCCCCATGTACGTAACTTACATATATTTATGTATGGCCAGAACAGCAAATAGAGTTCTGGTAGATAGGTACCTCGGAGATTTAACGTGCGCTTTCCGACTTAAGCCTACCTCGCACACGGGGAAGCACTTGTACTATTAGGGTAAAAAAGCGTAATGATTAAATAAAGAAGTGCAACCCTCCAAGATCAAAGGCGCCGCACAGCATTTATTAGATATGGGGTCGTCCGTTTCGCTTTGAACAACCACCCCACCTGTCTGTAGGAGTTATATAATCGGTGCGCAAATAATTGTGTCAAGTCCACTGCCGGGCTGATGCGGTGTCAGTGTCAGCGATGAACATGAATGCTCAAATTATAGACTTGTAGCACTCACAAGTTGCTTAGCCAAAATATTTGAAAAGTGTATATTCAATTCTCTGATAACAGCAAATATAACCTTAGAAAAAGATTCAACATACAAACAATCAAATGTAGAACACAGTCCTATGCTTATTATCATTTCTTCTGGATATGATCAACCTGCGGAACCCTCTATCCGATGAAGTAACTAATGCTCGCTCATTAAAAGAAATCAAATCCTTAATTAATCGTTCTGATGCAATTATTAATAATTTTGACTTCAAATATTTTCATAGATCATGCCAAATTGTCCACTGTCGCCTTAGGCTCGGCTGCAGTGACTTAAACGCTGATAAGTTTAGACGACATGTATCAGACATACCAGACTGCACTTGTGGATATCACCTTGAAGATGCAATTCGCTTTTTCTATAACTGTTAAAAAATACGATAATATCAGAAACACTGTGTATTTCTACACACATGGGTATGGTCTAAAAATGATATTATATGGCAGTAGTTAAGCCGTTCTACAAACATGACTCTTCTTAAATCAGTTCATGACATCATTGTCAAAAGCAAAAGGTTTGAGTAGCTTAATTTTATGCATGTAGTAAAGGAAAACTGCATTACCTTATTTTACAGACACCACTTGCTTCAGTGTATTGGCTTCGTGTATTTCATTTGTGCATTTTGTATGTTTATGTTCATCACTCTCTTATATATATCCAGCTGTTGTTAAGTTGTTACCTGGAGAGGTATTACATAAGCAAGTTTTGCTTGTTTACCGATCCAGATTTCTTTTGAAATAAAAATACGTTTAAGCCAACACAGCTAACCGTAAAACACATGATTGTAAACTATTCAAAAAGGGGCACTAATCTCTGGCTTCTTCTCGGGTGTCGGACTCAAACTCATTTATTCTTAGAATAACAAGTCATACAATTATCTACAATTTTTATTATGTACAATTTAATAAAAATAGGATACGTGGATACTAATACAATTTACCAATTGTATTGTACACATTGTTAAGGAATTTAGATAGGCCTTTTAGATTTCTTACACTGTTAGTAGTCATAATTTTCTTAAATGTTTGGAAACTTAAGATATTGCTTATTTAAGAGTTCATATCGCCGTTGGTGAAAAGCTTCACATCGGAATATATAATGCAATTCATCTCCCACAGCGATAGAATCACAGAGTGGACACTGGTTGTCTTCCCTGGGAATGTTCAGCCATCGACCAGTTTCAACTGGTACTCCTTGGTTAGAAAGTTCTGACTTTTAGTATTGGGAGAAATATTGATTTTGAGAACAGTAGATGTTTCGCAAATGAAGGTTGATTCTTCAGGTAACACGACCTTTGGATTTCCGCTTGGGCTTACTAGCTGCCGTGAGTCAATTTGCTCGTTAACGCAACCGAGCGTGACAAGAGACTGGGCTACCAGTCTGCAAGGACAGCTAAATAAACTTACGCATTTTTGAAAACTGATTGGTTACCCGTGATCTATGAAGATTTCAACAAAGGGCGCATAGTAATTAATTTCTTCAGCCTAAACAAACAGACAAATAACGGCGAAAGCTCATCGGATGTCGTCATTTGGAAATACCCCTGATTGTTACAGTTTGATAATAAAAAAGTATCCCTGAGTGAAAGCATTTGCGGATTTCGGATTGCGTGGATGATACAATTACTACTCCCTTGTTGTCATCCACATTTTCTGGTATAACCCTACACTTGTGTATTTGTCGTAATTCACTTGCTGCTCAGTTAATGAATTTATAACATGTATACTTAGTTGTAGCACCACTCAGGTTACCCGATAAAGGTTCAAATTTGGTCTTTCTTGTACCTGGGGTAATTATTTAATCTAAATCCAGGTTTGAAGTGAGGTGGAATGTGAGTTATGCACGTCGCAGCCCAGCAAGTGATGTATGATCAGTTGCTTTACTTTTTTTGTAAATCAACTGATCATTCCCAGACATCAAAGGATCAACAGGAAATACGTTGATTGATTAATTACTGTTATCTTGCACAGTGGATATGTCAAAAGTAAGTGTTTACATGTGAAGGTAGGGTTACTAAACCTAGGGAATACTCATATCATGGTGTGAAGTACATATGTAAAAACAACATACTTTGTTCAAAGGGTAACCGATAATACACTG